GCTGATGCTGATGCTGATGCTGATGCGCTGATGCTGATGCGCTGATGCTGATGCTGATGCGCTGATGCGCTGATGCTGATGCTGATGCGCTGATGGTGATTCGCTGATGCTGATGCTGATGCTGATGCTGATGCTGATGCTGATGCTGATGCGCTGATGCTGATGCGCTGATGCTGATGCTGATGCTGATGCTGATGCGCTGATGCTGATGCGCTGATGCTGATGCTGATGCTGATGCTGATGCTGATGCTGATGCGCTGATGCTGATGCGCTGATGCTGATGCTGATGCTGATGCGCTGATGCTGATACTGATGCTGATGCTGATGCTGATACTGATGCTGATGCTGATGCTGATGCTGATGCTGATGCTGATGCAGATGCTGATGCTGATGCTGATGCTGATGCTGATGCGCTGATGCTGATGCTGATGCTGATGCTGATGCGCTGATGCTGATGCTGATGCTGATGCGCTGATGCTGATGCGCTGATGCTGATGCTGATGCTGATGCTGATGCGCTGATGCTGATGCGCTGATGCTGATGCTGATGCTGATGCGCTGATGCTGATACTGATGCTGATGCTGATGCTGATACTGATGCTGATGCTGATGCTGATGCTGATGCTGATGCTGATGCAGATGCTGATGCTGATGCTGATGCTGATGCTGATGCGCTGATGCTGATGCTGATGCTGATGCTGATGCGCTGATGCTGATGCTGATGCGCTGATGCTGATGCGCTGATGCTGATGCTGATGCTGATGCTGATGCGCTGATGCTGATGCTGATGCTGATGCGCTGATGCTGATGCGCTGATGCTGATGCTGATGCGCTGATGCGCTGATGCTGATGCTGATGCGCTGATGGTGATTCGCTGATGCTGATGCTGATGCTGATGCTGATGCTGATGCTGATGCGCTGATGCTGATGCGCTGATGCTGATGCTGATGCTGATGCTGATGCGCTGATGCTGATGCGCTGATGCTGATGCGCTGATGCTGATGCTGATGCTGATGCTGATGCTGATGCTGATGCTGATGCGCTGATGCTGATGCTGATGCTGATGCGCTGATGCTGATGCGCTGATGCTGATGCTGATGCTGATGCTGATGCTGATGCTGATGCTGATGCTGATGCGCTGATGCTGATGCTGATGCTGATGCTGATGCTGATGCTGATGCTGATGCGCTGATGCTGATGCTGATGCTGATGTGCTGATGCTGCTGATGCTGATGCTGATGCTGATACTGATGCTGATGCTGATGCTGATGCTGATACTGATGCTGATGCTGATGCTGATGCTGATGCTGATGCTGATGCAGATGCTGATGCTGATGCTGATGCTGATGCTGATGCGCTGATGCTGATGCTGATGCTGATGCTGATGCGCTGATGCTGATGCTGATGCTGATGCGCTGATGCTGATGCGCTGATGCTGATGCTGATGCTGATGCTGATGCGCTGATGCTGATGCTGATGCTGATGCGCTGATGCTGATGCGCTGATGCTGATGCTGACGCTGATGCTGATGCTGATGCTGATGCTGATGGTGATTTCTACGCTGATGCTGATGCTGATGCTGATGCTGATGCTGATGCTGATGCTGATGCGCTGATGCTGATGCGCTGATGCTGATGCTGATGCTGATGCTGATGCGCTGATGCTGATGTTGATGCTGATGCTGATGCTGATGCTGATGCTGATGCTGATGCGCTGATGCTGATGCGCTGATGCTGATGCTGATGCTGATGCGCTGATGCTGATACTGATGCTGATGCTGATGCTGATACTGATGCTGATGCTGATGCTGATGCTGATGCTGATGCTGATGCTGATGCAGATGCTGATGCTGATGCTGATGCTGATGCTGATGCGCTGATGCTGATGCTGATGCTGATGCTGATGCGCTGATGCTGATGCTGATGCTGATGCGCTGATGCTGATGCGCTGATGCTGATGCTGATGCTGATGCTGATGCGCTGATGCTGATGCGCTGATGCTGATGCTGATGCTGATGCGCTGATGCTGATGCGCTGATGCTGATGCTGATGCGCTGATGCGCTGATGCTGATGCTGATGCGCTGATGGTGATTCGCTGATGCTGATGCTGATGCTGATGCTGATGCTGATGCTGATGCTGATGCTGATGCGCTGATGCTGATGCGCTGATGCTGATGCGCTGATGCTGATGCTGATGCTGATGCTGATGCGCTGATGCTGATGCGCTGATGCTGATGCTGATGCTGATGCTGATGCTGATGCTGATGCTGATGCTGATGCTGATGCTGATGCGCTGATGCTGATGCGCTGATGCTGATGCTGATGCTGATGCTGATGCGCTGATGCTGATGCGCTGATGCTGATGCTGATGCTGATGCTGATGCTGATGCTGATGCTGATGCGCTGATGCTGATGCGCTGATGCTGATGCTGATGCTGATGCGCTGATGCTGATACTGATGCTGATGCTGATGCTGATACTGATGCTGATGCTGATGCTGATGCTGATGCTGATGCTGATGCAGATGCTGATGCTGATGCTGATGCTGATGCTGATGCGCTGATGCTGATGCTGATGCTGATGCTGATGCGCTGATGCTGATGCTGATGCTGATGCGCTGATGCTGATGCGCTGATGCTGATGCTGATGCTGATGCTGATGCGCTGATGCTGATGCGCTGATGCTGATGCTGATGCTGATGCGCTGATGCTGATGCGCTGATGCTGATGCTGATGCGCTGATGCGCTGATGCTGATGCTGATGCGCTGATGGTGATTCGCTGATGCTGATGCTGATGCTGATGCTGATGCTGATGCTGATGCTGATGCGCTGATGCTGATGCGCTGATGCTGATGCGCTGATGCTGATGCTGATGCTGATGCTGATGCTGATGCGCTGATGCTGATGCGCTGATGCTGATGCTGATGCTGATGCTGATGCTGATGCTGATGCTGATGCTGATGCTGATGCGCTGATGCTGATGCGCTGATGCTGATGCTGATGCTGATGCTGATGCGCTGATGCTGATGCGCTGATGCTGATGCTGATGCTGATGCTGATGCTGATGCTGATGCTGATGCTGATGCTGATGCGCTGATGCTGATGCGCTGATGCTGATGCTGATGCTGATGCTGATGCGCTGATGCTGATGCGCTGATGCTGATGCTGATGCTGATGCTGATGCTGATGCTGATGCGCTGATGCTGATGCGCTGATGCTGATGCTGATGCTGATGCGCTGATGCTGATACTGATGCTGATGCTGATGCTGATACTGATGCTGATGCTGATGCTGATGCTGATGCTGATGCTGATGCAGATGCTGATGCTGATGCTGATGCTGATGCTGATGCGCTGATGCTGATGCTGATGCTGATGCTGATGCGCTGATGCTGATGCTGATGCTGATGCGCTGATGCTGATGCGCTGATGCTGATGCTGATGCTGATGCTGATGCGCTGATGCTGATGCGCTGATGCTGATGCTGATGCTGATGCGCTGATGCTGATGCGCTGATGCTGATGCTGATGCGCTGATGCGCTGATGCTGATGCTGATGCGCTGATGGTGATTCGCTGATGCTGATGCTGATGCTGATGCTGATGCTGATGCTGATGCTGATGCGCTGATGCTGATGCGCTGATGCTGATGCGCTGATGCTGATGCTGATGCTGATGCTGATGCGCTGATGCTGATGCGCTGATGCTGATGCTGATGCTGATGCTGATGCTGATGCTGATGCTGATGCTGATGCTGATGCGCTGATGCTGATGCGCTGATGCTGATGCTGATGCTGATGCTGATGCGCTGATGCTGATGCGCTGATGCTGATGCTGATGCTGATGCTGATGCTGATGCTGATGCTGATGCTGATGCTGATGCTGATGCTGATGCTGATGCTGATGCTGATGCTGATGCTGATGCTGATGCTGATGCTGATGCTGATGCGCTGATGCTGATGCTGATGCTGATGCTGATGCTGATGCTGATGCGCTGATGCTGATGCGCTGATGCTGATGCTGATGCTGATGCGCTGATGCTGATACTGATGCTGATGCTGATGCTGATACTGATGCTGATGCTGATGCTGATGCTGATGCTGATGCTGATGCAGATGCTGATGCTGATGCTGATGCTGATGCTGATGCGCTGATGCTGATGCTGATGCTGATGCTGATGCGCTGATGCTGATGCTGATGCTGATGCGCTGATGCTGATGCGCTGATGCTGATGCTGATGCTGATGCTGATGCGCTGATGCTGATGCGCTGATGCTGATGCTGATGCTGATGCGCTGATGCTGATGCGCTGATGCTGATGCTGATGCGCTGATGCGCTGATGCTGATGCTGATGCGCTGATGGTGATTCGCTGATGCTGATGCTGATGCTGATGCTGATGCTGATGCTGATGCTGATGCGCTGATGCTGATGCGCTGATGCTGATGCGCTGATGCTGATGCTGATGCTGATGCTGATGCAGATGCTGATGCTGATGCTGATGCTGATGCTGATGCTGATGCTGATGCTGATGCTGATGCTGATGCTGATGCTGATGCTGATGCTGATGCTGATGCTGATGCTGATGCTGATGCTGATGCTGATGCTGATGCTGATGCTGATGCTGATGCTGATGCTGATGCTGATGCTGATGCTGATGCTGATGCTGATGCTGATGCTGATGCTGATGCTGATGCTGATGCTGATGCTGATGCTGATGCTGATGCTGATGCTGATGCTGATGCTGATGCTGATGCTGATGCTGATGCTGATGCTGATGCTGATGCTGATGCTGATGCTGATGCTGATGCTGATGCTGATGCTGATGCTGATGCTGATGCTGATGCTGATGCTGATGCTGATGCTGATGCTGATGCTGATGCTGATGCTGATGCTGATGCTGATGCTGATGCTGATGCTGATGCTGATGCTGATGCTGATGCTGATGTAGGGCATACAACCCACTCAACTCCCCCCAATCAGCACAATTGGCAGCAGAACCAATCTTACCGGCCCCCGATGGGGTTGGCAGCAGCAATGACGGAGCATCTGGCAGCGAGGGATGTGACAATGCCCGCCTTGCTGATGCTGATGCTCTGCTGCTCCATCGCCTCGTGAATGGACACCCTGGGAGGTAGACGGTGAGAGGTGTGTGGGCCATGGGGTGAAGGGCAAACAGCAAGACGAGCATCCGCCCGCACAGTCACGTTAGCTGATGCTGATGCTCTGCTGCTCCATCGCCTCGTGGATGGATACCCTTTGGGGGCACAGTGCAAGGTGTGGGAGGCAGGGCATGGCACGGGGTGAGTGGGGCGAATGGCAAGAGGAGCATTAGTCAGCCTCAGCTGATGCTCTGCTGCTTCATCGCCTCGCCTCGTGGATGGACACCCTGGGAGGGGCATGCATTCAAACATGTGTGGGGCAAGGTGTGAGGGACACAGGGTGTGGTGCAGATTGGGATGGATGGACTGCAAGTGGAGCATCAGACACCTTACCCCACACAAACACATCATCCCCCTGCCCCACAGTCCCCCCTCCCCCAGTCCCACCTGTCCTGTTCGCTCATCTTGTCAAACTCGTCTATCAAACAAGTGCCTCTATCCGCCAGCACCAGCGCCCCTTCCAACCCATCCCCAACCCCCTCCAATCCCCTCCCCCAGTCCCCACCTGTCCTGTTCGCTCATCTTGTCAAACTCGTCAATCAGACACGTGCCACGATCAGCCAGCACCAGAGCTCCCCCCTCGAGAGTCCACTCGCGCGTGATGGGGTCCTTGTGCACGGCTGCTGTGAGGCCCACCGCTGATGCTCCCTTGCCCGTTGTATACACGGCTCGGTGAGCTGTTTTCTCCAAGTACCTGGTGGGTGGTGGTGCAGTGGAAGTGATTGGCAGCAGGAGAGAGGAGTGGTCCGAAGCAGAGGTGACAGCGGGCTGCATAGGGTCCTTGTGGCATGCACGGCTGCTCTCAATCCCACTGCCCAATGCACCATTTCCCCTCACTCCCCGTACCCTTGCCCCTCGTTCCCTCGTTCCCTCGTCTCCTGTCTCACTCTTCACTTCACCCCACGGAGCACTCACTTGAGGAACTGCGACTTGGCCGTGCCGGGGTCGCCCAGCAGCAGCGCGTTGATGTCTCCTCTCAGGCGGTGCTTGCCGCCCTGCCCTACACTCATTCTCTCATTCCCTCTGAAAATACTCACTTGAGGAACTGCGACTTAGCCGTGCCAGGATCTCCCAGCAGCAGCGCGTTGATGTCTCCTCTCAGGCGGTGCTTGCCGCCCTGCCCTACACTCATTCTCTCATTCCCTCTGAAAATACTCACTTGAGGAACTGCGACTTGGCCGTGCCGGGGTCGCCCAGCAGCAGCGCGTTGATGTCTCCTCTCAGGCGGTGCTTGCCGCCCTGCCCTACACTCATTCTCTCATTCCCTCTGAAAATACTCACTTGAGGAACTGCGACTTAGCCGTGCCAGGATCTCCCAGCAGCAGCGCGTTGATGTCTCCTCTCAGGCGGTGCTTGCCGCCCTGCCCTACACTCATTCTCTCATTCCCTCTGAAAATACTCACTTGAGGAACTGCGACTTAGCCGTGCCAGGATCTCCCAGCAGCAGCGCGTTGATGTCTCCTCTCAGGTGGTGCTTGCCGCCCTGCCCTACACTCATTCTCTCATTCCCTCTGAAAATACTCACTTGAGGAACTGCGACTTAGCCGTGCCAGGATCTCCCAGCAGCAGCGCGTTGATGTCTCCTCTCAGGCGGTGCTTGCCGCCCTGCCCTACACTCATTCTCTCATTCCCTCTGAAAATACTCACTTGAGGAACTGCGACTTAGCCGTGCCAGGATCTCCCAGCAGCAGCGCGTTGATGTCTCCTCTCAGGCGGTGCTTGCCGCCCTGCCCTACACTCATTCTCTCATTCCCTCTGAAAATACTCACTTGAGGAACTGCGACTTAGCCGTGCCAGGATCTCCCAGCAGCAGCGCGTTGATGTCTCCTCTCAGGCGGTGCTTGCCGCCCTGCCCTACACTCATTCTCTCATTCCCTCTAAAAATACTCACTTGAGGAACTGTGACTTGGCCGTGCCAGGGTCTCCCAGCAGCAGCACGTTGATGTCCCCTCTAAGGCGGTGCTTGCCCCCTGCATTCTTCTCCTGCCCGCCGAACATGGCCAGCGCCAGTGAGACCTTCACGTTGTCGTGCCCATAGATGGAGGGGGCGATGGACTTGATGATCTGCAGGGTGAGGGGAGAGAAGGGGCAGAGGGAGGGCCGGAGAGGAGGGAAGGCATCTTGTCCCGCCCTTGGAACCCAGCAACATGGCTAGGGCTAGACAGGACTTGACGTTCTCGTGGCCGTAGATGGAGGGGGCGATGGACTTGATGATGTGGAGTGGGGAAGTGGGGAGGAGGGAGGGGGATGGATGAACACAAGGGAGTGCCTTCCGGTGTTCACGTACCGCGGAAACCTATCCACGTACCGCCTTCCGCTCAATTCATCCATCTCCCCACCCACCCTCTCAACCCCCACTCTGTCTCACCCTCACACCCTTCATCTCCTCCTTCACTTCCACACACTCTCTCTCCCTTCTCGCAAGCTCAGTGCAGATACCCTTCTTTCCCTCCCTCCGATTCACCTACCCGCTCTGCGATCCTGGGGTCTCTCGAAAGCCGCATGCTCTCCTCCTTGTCCTCATCCGCCAGTCGGTAAGCAACAAAGGCGTCCTGCCTTCCATCCTCACACACCTCATACCACACCCTCCCAAGAAAGCTCACCCTCTCAGCAATGCGTGGGTCCCGGGACAGCCGCATGATCTCCTCCTTGTCTTCATCCGTGAGCCGGTACGCAGCAAAGGCGTCCTGCCGCTTGCTGATGTGGTTGGCCTCTATCACCGTGGAGAACACCGGGAAGCCCTGCCGCGTGTTCAGTGCTGCGTCAAAGTTGTTCACATAGATGCCAGTCACTTCCTGTTGACGGTTGAAGAGAGCAAGGGGGGAGGAAGAGAGGGGCGAGTGCTGATGTGGTTGGCCTCTATCACCGTGGAGAACACCGGGAAGCCCTGCCTCGTGCTGAGCGCCGCGTCAAAGTTGTTCACATAGATGCCCGTGATCTCCTGCGAGGAGGGAGAGGGGGGCACGTGGAGGAGGGGAGGGGAAGGGCGGGTGGGGGTGTAGGATAGATTGGAGGATGCTTGAGTTGTTTCGACCGCTGCTGTGGGGGGGAAACGCGAGCAGCCCAAACCAGCATGTTGTGGGGGAACGCCGTTGTTGAGGGCTGCATCAAGTTGTTCACATAGCCACACCCAGCTACATGCTCCCCGGTTCAACTTACAATCTCCTCCCCTGGTCGCGCGCAGTCGATCAAGTCGTTCAGCAGCACCACCTCTTTGTAGCGCGGCAGCCGCCCCGCCGGCACGCTTGACACACACAGCTTCCAATGCACCTTCGAGGCTCTTTACACTTACAATCTCTTCTCCCGGTCGCGCGCAGTCAATGAGGTCATTCAGCAGCACCACCTCCTTGTAGCGCGGCAGTCACCCAGCAGACACAGAACCAGCTCACAGACTCACAACCACTTTGTATGCTTTCTGCACTCACAATCTCTTCGCCCGGCCGGGCGCAGTCAATCAAGTCATTCAGCAGCACCACCTCCTTGTAGCGCGGCAGTCGCCCAGCAGACACAGAACCAGCTCACAGACTCACAACCACTTTGTATGCTTTCTGCACTCACAATCTCTTCGCCGGCCGGGCGCAGTCAATCAAGTCATTCAGCAGCACCACCTCCTTGTAGCGCGGCAGCCGCCCCGCCGGCACACTCCCAGGGCTCTCCTGCAGGGTCATCTTCTGGTAGTTGCGGTAGATGGTCTGATGGGGACGAGGGGCCATAAATGAGTGGACAGTGAGGGAGAGGACGAAATTCAATGGGTCGTTGTCTTGAAGATCACTTCAAATGAGACAAGAAGCACAGTGTCAGGGCTGTCCTGCAACGTTATCTCCCTCACTTGTTCCATCCACACTTGCTGCACTCACCTGCTCCACGTTGACCTGGAAGGGCCCCTTGGACTGGCACTCAGCGCACGTGCGGATGCGGATCTCCGAGGAGGACGTCTGGAAGAAGGGGCCCAGGATGGCACCACACTTAATGCAGTTGTACTTCACCTGCAGGGGTGCAGTGCGGTGGAGTGTGGTGCGGAGGGTGGCATTCAAGTACATGAGAATATTGGGCACAGAAACAGATGCATTAACAACGGGGCAGCATGGAAAGAAACAGGAAGCAGTGGGGGCAGATGCTTCCAACTGACCTGCTGCAGCTGGGGGAACACTCCAGTCCTCCGCGTGACAACACCCCCCACGCGGATGAGACAGTTGAGATGCGTCTGCCTGCCATGCGCACACAGATCAACAGAACAGGCAAGAGATATGTGGTCACTGGGTTACGATAAGGAGTGGAGTGCAGCTGAGGCACGGCAAGGATGCCTCATGCTACTCTCCTTCGTTGCAATGCAACCACCTAATACCCCCTGCCTGCTCCCTATGTTGTTTTCACCTGATGTCGCGAATCTGGTCGATGACAGGCAGCCCTGCCACGCGCACGTAGATGCGCTCGTGCACCTGCTCTGTTGAAACCACCTGACTCGTTCTGTTGGATTCACCTGATGTCGCGGATCTGGTCGATGACAGGAAGTCCTGCAACCCGCACGTAGATGCGTTCGTGCACCTGCTCGTACATGGGGAAGGCGCGGAACACCTCCGCCTGTGCCACCTCGTCCAGTACTTCCAGCACCTGGTGATGGTGGTCCAGGGAGAGGGAAAAAGTCTCATGCACCTGCTCTGCTCTGCTCGTACATGGGGAAGGTGCGGAACACCTCCGCCTGTGCCACCTCGTCCAGTACCTCCAATAGCTGGTGGAGAGACGAAGAAGGGAGAAGAGGGGGGGACGGGGAAGGATCTCATGCATCGGGAGAGGAGAATGGAATGAAGCTTTAGACGTCAAAGCACCTGCACCCAACCACCACTGCTGTGCTCTGTTCTGCATGGAATCTGGCGGGATTCTGCACATTCAACCGGTTATGAGGCTCAGACTGCAAGGCCAGGAGACACACACGTTTGAATGCGGATCCCACAATGACGATCACAATCATAGCGCTCACAATCACAGCGCTCACCTGCTTGGGTGCATCAGCGAGCCACACAGCGAGGATGGGGTGGGTGGTGAGGAGGTGCGAGTAGTCCAGCTCCAATGAACAGCTATTCACTGCTCTCTCCGGCCATGCATGCATACAGACACATGCGTGCACACACACAAAACAGCACACGCACAGAAGAAATACTGAGAAACAAAAAGAACAAGGGCAGCACCAATTCCCACCATGCCTCACCCTCACACCCTTCTCCCCGCTTTACTCACCCTCACATCATTCACTCACTCCTCCCTCTCTCACCTCACCTCCCCTCCCCCCCCCCCTCCCCCCCCTCTTTTCCCTCCCCACGCACTCTCCACTAGCTCTTGGAAGCGAACGCATTTTTGGCATTGCTGTCTCCACGTGCCGCCCCACTCACTCTCCCCTTTCCATTCATTCATTCCCCCATACCCTCCCTTCCTCACTCCCCCCCCCCCACGCACTCTCCACCAACTCGCGGATGCGGATGGCATAGTCGGCATCGCTGTCCCCGCGGTGCCGCCCGCCCCACTCATTTCCACACCCTCATTCATACCCCCCCTTGCCCTCCCTCCCCCTGCCAACCCCCCCCCCCCCCCCCCCCCCCCCCACGCACTCTCCACCAGCTCGCGGATGCGGATGGCATAGTCGGCATCGCTGTCCCCGCGGTGCCGCCCTCTGCTGTCCTTGTACGTCTGCAGGAAGTGGCGGAACTTGCGCGCCATGAAGCGCCGCACCTCGTCCCGTGATACCCACTCCCGCAGGCTGTCCTGTTTGAGGATATCAGGGGAAGAGAGAGAGGACAGGCAAAGGAAGAAAGGGAGTGCACCCCGACAGTGTGTGCATACTGGAGTGACTTTTGAGAATTCTCAAAAGGCACCCTGACAGTGTGTGCATACTGTGAACTCTGAATGCTCTCAACGAATGATTGTTGCAATCACCTGACTGTTGAAATTACCTGACTCTTGCCTGTGGACTCAACTGACTGTTGGAATCACCTGCATGTTGTAGAGCGAGTCATCATTGATATCATCCTCCTCCTCCGTCCCACCTAGCACTTGACTGCACCACCAATCACCTGAATCCTGACTCTTAATCACCTGCATGTTGTAAAGCGAGTCATCATTGATATCATCCTCCTCCTCCGTCCCACCTAGCACTTGACTGCACCACCAATCACCTGAATCCTGACTCTTAATCACCTGCATGTTGTAAAGCGAGTCGTCATTGATATCATCCTCCTCCTCCGCCTCGTCCTCCTCCCCTTCCCCTGTGCCCTCCGTAGCAAAGCTCCCCTGCGCGCATGGATTAGGAAGAGGCAAACATCATGTTTACCCGATGCACAGCAGACTCCAAAGGAAAAACAGGTGCCTTGAAACGCGATTCAACAGGAGGAGGGTGGTGCGACAGTCTAACGGTGTCTGACAAGTTGCGATAGACACACAAAACGTGAAGTGCACTCGGCTATCATTTTGTCCCTCTCTCGCACTCACCCCCACGGCGGCATCAGCAGAGTCGGTGCGTCGTCGGCGCTGCCCCCTGCGGGTGAAGAGGCCAGTGTCGTCGTCATCTGGGGGGAATGGAGAGCAGGGGTAAAGGAGAAGGCAGGGTGTGCCGCAGGGCAAGGGGAGGAGCAACAAGGTAGGGAGATGAGCGAAAGGGACGCTGCCCCCTGCGAGTGAAGAGGCCAGTGTCGTCGTCTGGTGCATGGGGAGCACAGAACGAAGGAGAACGAAGGGGTAAAGGAGAAGGAAAGGGGGACACAGAACGCAGGAAGAAGAGGGGCTCACAGGAAGAAGAGGGGCTCACAGGAAGGAGAGGGGCTCACAGGAAGAAGTGGTAGAAGAGAAGGAGAAGGGAAATGGCTAAAGGAAGCGAGGGCAGGAGCACAGGCGAAGGGAGAGAGAGAATAAGGCAGAGCGTGTGGAGGGGCAAGGAGGAAAGACTCCTACTCCCAACCCCTCCGCCACCTCACCTTGGTCTCTCAGGATGGAAGGCAGTCGGTTCCCGCCATCATCCCCCCAGCGCCCATCCTCCCAGCGTCTCTGTGCGTTGCAGTTACTATTGAGAATTCTCCAAAGTCTCACCTTGGTCCCTCAGAATAGATGGCAGTCGGTTCCCCCCCTCATCCCCACCGGCGCCCCTCCTGCCCGCGTCTCGGCGCGCCATTTCTCGCTCCGCTGCCCGCCTGTCCGCCGCCCGCTGCCCGCTGCTCCTGGTGTCGCGCTCGCTGTCCGCCAGATGCTCCCTCTCGTACTCGTCCAGGTGGGGCATCGGGCGGTAGTCGCTGGGAGGAGGGAGAGGGCACGGCACAGAGAGACGTGAGGGGGGTTACCACACAGAGCAACGAGGTGCTCCTCTTGCTGTCCGCCAGGTGCTCCCGCTCGTACTCGTTCAGATGAGGCATGGGGCGGTAATCACTGCAATGGGAAGAGGGGTGGGAGTGATTGGTGGGAGCGAGGGGTCACGGCACATCACCCCGCACCGCACTGCACTCCTCCTGGTGTCGCCCTCACTCTCCGCCAGGTGCTCCCTCTCGTACTTGTCGAGATGGGGCATGGGGCGGTAGTCGCTGTGTAATGGGTTGGGAGAGGGCACGGCAAGAGACGCGAGGTTGGTTACCACACAAACGAGGTGCTCCCCTCTCGCCCGCTGCTCCTGGTGCTGCCCTCACTGCCTGCCAGGTGCTCGCGCTCGTACTCGTTGAGATGAGGCGGCATGGGGCGGTAGTCACTGCAATGGGAAGAGGGGCGAGGGGTGGTGGCGAGGGGTTACACCGTTACGGCACATCTCGTCCAACTGCGCTGCTCCTGCAAGTCACCCACCCCATCCCACTCACACCATGACATGGGCCCACTCACACCATGACATGGGCCCACTCACACCATGACATGGGCCCACTCACACCATGACATGGGCCCACTCACACCATGACATCGGCCCACTCACACCATGACATGGGCCCTCTCACACCATGACGTCGGCCCACTCACACCATGACATGGGCCCACTCACACCATGACATGGGCCCACTCACACCATGACATGGGCCCACTCACACCATGACATGGGCCCACTCACACCATGACATCGGCCCACTCACACCATGACATCGGCCCACTCACACCATGACATCGGCCCACTCACACCATGACATCGGCCCACTCACACCATGACATCGGCCCACTCACACCATGACATGGGCCCACTCACACCATGACATCGGCCCACTCACACCATGACATGGGCCCACTCACACCATGACATGGGCCCACTCATACCATGACATCGGCCCACTCACACCATGACATCGGCCCACTCACACCATGACATCGGCCCACTCACACCATGACATCGGCCCACTCACACCATGACATCGGCCCACTCACACCATGACATGGGCCCACTCACACCATGACATGCGCCCACTCACACCATGACATCGGCCCACTCACACCATGACATCGGCCCACTCACACCATGACATCGGCCCACTCACACCATGACATCGGCCCACTCACACCATGACATCGGCCCACTCACACCATGACATGGGCCCACTCACACCATGACATGGGCCCACTCACACCATGACATCGGCCCACTCACACCATGACATGGGCCCATTCACACCATGACATGGGCCCACTCACACCATGACATGGGCCCACTCACACCATGACATCGGCCCACTCACACCATGACATGGGCCCACTCACACCATGACATCGGCCCACTCACACCATGACATCGGCCCACTCACACCATGACATCGGCCCAATCACACCATGACATCGGCCCACTCACTCCAGGAAGTCATCCCTCAGCAGATCCTCTCCCTCCTCCTCCTCCTCCTCCTCGCCGGCTCGCCCCGCCACGCCGTCCCCCTCGCCGCCCTCGCTGCCGTTGTCGAACAGCATCGGATCCACCTCCGCCTCCTCCGCCTCCCGCCCTGCCATAGGATTGCGGCGGAAGGGGGAAGGGTCACGGCGGAAGGGGGAACGAGGGTGCGGAAAAGAGTATGACCCAACCGCGACCTCACTAGGTCGGTCATACAGAACGGATCCGACCCCATGCCGCCTCTCCATCTTGACCTCAACGCAGCAGATAGGTGATCGGTAAAGCGGGCAGAGAGAACACAGATCTCGGCAGGTGAAGGCGAAGTGAGGCGGCGGGGTGGCACGAGAAAGAGAGAAAGACAGAGGAAATCGACCATGAGCCAGCGGTAGAGTGAATGGTTCACGCGCACCTGCGGAGTCGCGGTCGAAATCGTCCATCTGATCGTCATCATCTCGACCGCTCGCCGTGTATGCATCCGACGGCCCAGATCGCCCCGATTGTCTGTCCGAATCCTGCACGCGCGCACCACGCGAAGGATGCACAAGAACCACACAAGACGCGTCAGAATAAGCGCATTGCGTCGCTTCGAACTTGTGCAGATTCAGACGGGCATGGCATGCAGCAAAAACTAGAGGTAAGGATAACGTTTTACCATATGTGGTCGTGGGAAAGCCTCCCATTACGGAATTCAGCATGTGAGCACAATTTTTTTTTTATATAAATTACCTTTGGACCGTAAGGGCAGCTCTCATAGCTCAGTTGGTTAGAGCACCCGTTTAGTAAGCGGGAGATCTTGAGTTCAACTCTCAATGAGAGCACATGTCACACTATTAGAGAATCCGTTCTCCCCTTTTTATGGCTCGCTGCGCACACTCCCAACCCAAGGCCTTGTGGTTTCTTCGTTTGTACTTAATTAGCATCTACGCTTGGTCCAACTGCGCGCCTGGTCCAACCGCTCGCCTGGTCTAACAGCGCGCATGGTCCAACTGCGCGCCTGGTCCAACCGCGCGCCTGGTCCAACTACGCGTCTGGTCCAGCTCCGCGCCTGTTTCAACTGCGCGCTTAGCAATGGTACTAATAATGGTAATGGTAATGGTAATGGTAATGGTAATGGTAATGGTAATGGTAGTGGTAGTGGTAATAGTTTTGGTAATAGTACTGGTAATGGTAATTGTAATGGTAATGGTAATGGTAATTGTAATGGTAATGGTCATAGTGTGGTAATGGTAATTGTCAGAATTATATTCTTATACCTGCATGTAGTTCTAGCTGTAGTGTAGATATTAACTTTATAGGTGGTGCACCTCTTTGCTTGCTAAATGTACCCTAGTGCTATAGTGAACATTCATTCTCCTCTCATCTCTCGACTCTCCCTCCTTGGCACAAACTAGCTCAATCCCCTTGGGCCTAGGCTACTAAGCCTAGGCCCTCACTTAAACCTAGTCCCTACTTATGCCACTATTTTGACAGTAATGGGACTGATGAAGGTAACGGTAATGATAATGGTAATGGTAATGGTAGTGGTAATGGTAATGGTAATGATAGTGGTAGTGGTAATGGTAGTGGTAATGGTAATGGTAATGGTAATGGTAGAGGGAATAATGGCAATGGTAATGGTAATGGTAATGATAATGGTAATTGTTGGCAATTGTCGCCAAACATACCGGTAGGCGTCATTGCAGGCGCTAAATTTTTCTTTCCGCTCGAACCAAGCTGAAATTGATATGATATATGTATTTGAGCACGGGCTACTCGAATGTAACATTCAGGTCGTTCGATGCTTTTCCTTACGCTTATAGGGATCCATGCGCTTCTTTAGCATTTGTCGGCAAACCCATTGCAGGCGCCAAACTTTTCATTGCGCACGAACCAAGCTGAAATTGCTTAAATAGGTATGTTTGAGCGTGGGCGACCCGAATATGCATAACATTTAGGTCGGTCGATGCTTTTCCCTACGCATGCAGGGATCCATGCGCTTCCTTAGCATTTGTCGGCAAACACAGCCGTCATCGAAGGCGCTGAACTTTTCTTTGCGCATCAGCCAAGCTCAAATTGCTCTGATAGGTGTGTTTGAGAATGAAACATCTGAATATGCAATACAACGCATGATCATAGGCCCAAAATAGCGCAGCCACGTGACCCGGCGGAAGAAAAACGCTCAGAACGAGCGCTTCCACCCCCAAAACGCGGATCCGCACATGTGCAGGAAGTGCAGCGGGCGCTCTTCATTCCTGAGCGCTAATGACAGATGATGCTCGCAACCCTCCCACGCCCTTGCTGGCTTGGCAATAGGCCCAGACAAGCGCAACCATGTGACCCGGCAGATGAAAAACGCTCGGAACGAACACTTTCAGCCTCAAAACGCGGAAGGATCCGCACATGTGTCTGAAGTGCAGCGGGCGCTCATCATTCGCGAGTGCCGATGACCAATGATGCTCGCAACCCTCCCACGCCCTTGGAGGCTTTGCAATAGGACCAGACAAGCGCAGCCACGAGACCCGGCGGAAGAAAAACGCTCGGAACGAGCACTTCCAGCCCCAAAACGCGGAAGGATCCGCACGTGTGCATGAAGTGAAGCGAGCGCTCTTCCTTCGCGAGCCCCGATGTCCGATGATGCTCGCAACCCTTCCACGCCCTTGCGGGCTTGGCAAGCCATGTGACATGGAGGAAGAAAAATGCTCGGAACGAGCGCTTCTTGCCTCAAAACGCGGAAGGATCCGCACATGTGCAGGAAGTGCAGCGGGCGCTCTTCATTCGCGAACGCCGATGACCGATGATGCTTGCGACCCACCCACGCCCTTGCTGGCTTGGCAATTGGCCCAGACAAGCGCAGCCACGTAACCCGGTGGAAAAAAAAAAACGCTCGGAACGAGCGCTTCCAACCCCTAAACGCGGAAGGATCCGCACATGTGCGGGAAGTGTAGTGGACGCTCTTCATTTGCGAGCGCCGATCACCAATGATGCTCGCAACCCTCCGACGCCCTTGCTGGCTTGGCAATAGGCCCACAAAAGTGCAGCCACGTGACCCAACGGAAGAAAAGCGCTCTGAACAAGCGCTTCCAGCCCCAAAACGCGGAAGGATCCGCATATGTGCTTGGAGAAAGTGCAGCGGGCGCTCTTCATTCGCGAGCGCCGATGACCGATGATACTCGCAACCCTCCCACGCCCTTGCTGGCTTGGCAAAAGGCCCAGAAAACTGCAGCCGTGTGACCCAGTGGAAGAAAAACGCTCAGAACGAGCGCTTCTACCCCCAAAACGCGGAAGGATTCGCACATGTGCAGGAAGTGCAGCGGGCGCTCTTCATTCGCGAGCGCCGATGACCGATGATGCTTGCAACCCTCCCACGCCCTTGCTGGCTTGGCAATAGGCCCAGACAAGCACAGCCACGTGACCCGGTGGAAGAAAAACGCTCGGAACGAGTGCTTCCACCCCCAAATCGCGGAAGGATCCGTACATGTGGAGGAAGTGCAGCGGGCGCTTTTCATTCGCGAGCGCCGATGACCGATGATGCTCGCAACCATCCCACGCCCTTGCTGGCTTGGCAATAGGACCAGACAAGTGCAGCCACGTGACCCGGTGGAAGAAAAACGCTCGGAACGAGCGCTTCTAGCCTCAAAATGCGGAAGAATCCGCACATGTGCAGGAAGTGCAGCAGGCGCTCTTCATTCGCGAGCGCCGATGACCAATGATGCTTGCAACCCACCCACGCCCTTGCTGGCTACGCTTGTATGGGCCTATTGCCAAGCTAATAAGGGCGTAGGAGGGTTGCGAGCATCATCGGTCATCGGCACTCGCGAATGAAGAGCGCCCGCTGCACTTCCTACACATGTGCGGATCCTTCCTACACATCCGCACTTCCAGCCCAAAAACGCGGAAGGATCCGCACATGTGTAGGAAGTGCAGCGGGCGCTCTTCATTCGCGAGTGCCGATGACCAATGATGCTCGCAACTCTCCTACGCCCTTGTTAGCTTGGCAATAGGCCCATACAAGTGTCAGGAAGAATAGGAGCGTGGCCAAGCCTATTCTTAGGCTTAGTAGCCTAGGCCACAGTAGGAGGTAGTAGGTTGTGCCCTAGGACTAGGGTTTGTGGTATACGAAGGAGAATTGGAGAAGTGAGAATGGGAAATAATGTGAACTAGCAAGCAGCAGGATACATATAGGAAACCCTAAGGGGTTGTACTCACTATTGAGCACCCCACTGCAGGCTAGACAAATAACATAATCTGACACACCCCCATAGCCAAAGTGGGGTGTATCAGCACACGTAAGAAGTCACAGCAATAGTTCACCATTATCAGCAAAGCTAGTGGCAAGGCCAGTGAGGAGGAGGAGGAACTGTGGAGGGAGAGAAGAGAGGAGGCGACGACTGAAGTTGCAGACACACGGGCACCAGGAGCACCAGGTTGCAACCTCCTCCAACTGTCTCACTCCCCCCTACACTCACCCCCAGTGTCACCACTCGCTTCTCGCCCACATCACCCCCTTAGCACCACTCCCTCGTCTCCCACACATCCACCCCCCCGCAGCGGCAGCTGCAGCAGTGGGAGACGGAGGAGAAGGTAGGGGCGACGCACAAGGAGCACCCCCACACCCGCCACCCCCACACCCTCCTGTCCAGGGGACGCAGGGGGGGGGGGGGGGGGAGGGCCGGGGCGGGAGAGCGCACGAGGGCGCAGGCAACCGCGCGTACAGAGCAACAGCGCGGAGCAGGTAGGGTAGAGCGCACGAGGGCGCGGGCAACCGCGCGTGCAGAGCAACAGCGCGGAGCAGGTAGGGTAGAGCGCACGAGGGCGCGGGCAACCGCGCGTGCAGAGCAACAGCGCGGAGCAGGTAGGGTAGAGCGCACGAGGGCGCGGGCAACCGCGCGTGCAGAGCAACAGCGCGGAGCAGGTAGGGTAGAGCGCACGAGGGCGCGGGCAACCGCGCGTGCAGAGCAACAGCGCGGAGCAGGTAGGGTAGAGCGCACGAGGGCGCGGGCAACCGCGCGTGCAGAGCAACAGCGCGGAGCAGGTAGGGTAGAGCGCACGAGGGCGCGGGCAACCGCGCGTGCAGAGCAACAGCGCGGAGCAGGTAGGGTAGAGCGCACGAGGGCGCGGGTGAGACTGAGCGCGACTGCACAGGGTCCAGGAGCGGCGTCGCGGGCAGCTGCATGGTCGGCTGCTGCTGGTGCGGTTGCTCCAGGGGCGACGACTGAGGTTCTAGGGGCGGCTGCACCAGGGGCGGCTGCTCCACGGGCGGCGTCGCGGGTACAGGGGCGGCTGCACCAGGGGCGGCTGCTCCAGGGGCGGCGGCGCAGGTCCAGGGGCGGCTGCACCAGGGGCGGCTGCTCCACGGGCGGCGTCGCGGGTACAGGGGCGGCTGCTCCAGGGGCGGCGGCGCAGGTCCAGGGGCGGCTGCACCAGGGGCGGCTGCTCCCTGGGCGACGGCGCAGGTCCAGGGGCGGCTGCACCAGGGGCGGCTGCTCCAGGGGCGGCGTCGCGGGTCCAGGGGCGGCTGCACCAGGGGCGGCGGCTCCAGGGGCGGGGTGGCGAGTCCAGGGGCGGCTGCACCAGGGGTGGCCGCTCCAGGAGCGATGGCGCTGGCGCAGGGGCGGCTCGCGCGCTGTTGCAGGGGCGGCGTCGCGAGCTGCTGCAGGGGCGGTGTCGCGAGCGACGGGCGACGGGGGGAGAGCAGCAGGCGGGCCCCCGGAAGGCGCCGCGACGACCAGTGACGGCGCCCAGGGGGCGTCGCGTCGTGTAGGGGCGACGCCGCGCAGGTCCCGCAGAGGTGTCGCGACGAGCAGGGCGACGCCGCGCGGGTCCCGCAGGGGCGTCGCGACGAGTAGGAGCGGCACCCAGGGGGGGGCGCCGCGACGAGCAGGGGCGGGCCCCCTGAAGGCGCCGCGCCATGCGACGGCAGGGAGCAGCACGCAGGCCCCCC